CCTTGATGTCAGCGATGAGGCCCTCGAAGTCAAGGCCAATAGTGTCCTTGTTGTAGTAACGGTAGGAGGCGACCTCCATTCCGGAGTCCTTGAAGACGGCGGCATGGTTGGCCCAGCTGGGAGTGGGAAGGTAGATCTTCTTAGCGTGAGGGTAGAAGCGCTGCAGGAAAGCACCTCCGATTCTCAGGGCACCGGTACCGGAAATGGTCTGAGTGATAACAAGACGGTCCTCCTTGATGACGGCGGAGTCGCTGCCATAGGCCAGCTCCGCAGCAGCCTTTGTAAAGGAAGGAATACCAGTGATACCAGCATATTCTTTGTCGAGACGCGACGCAACGACCTTGTCTTCGGCAGCGCGAACCGAGGGCAGAACATATGGCTTGCCCTTGTCATCACCTATTCATTCCGAAAACAGAAAATCAGTCGTTGCATGAAACAGTTGGCATCAATTAAGCCATTAAGAAAGCTTGAGCGATTGAAGTCACGAATAGTACGTACGGTAAGCACCAACACCAAGGTTGATCTTCTCCTTGAAGGTATCGGCCTTGAATGCCTCGGTGATACCGAGGATAGCGTCCTGGAATCATCCCATTACGTTAACAATGACCCACAGAGCGACTTCTCGGACAACAGAGTGTATTACCGGAGGACCCTGAGGGACATTGGACCAGGCAGAGGCATGTCTGGCACCGATGACCACGGTGCGCATGCTCGCCTCACGCGAAGCAGCCTGGCGGCTGGCGACTCTAAGAGTGGACAACATTGCGGTGTCAAGGGCGCTAATTCAGAAATCTAAGATGTAGAACTAGAAGCTCAAGAGGTCCTCGAGGGAGAAGTAGTGGGGAGAATCAAGGAGAAAAGTAGGAAAGAAGAAGGGAAAAGGTCAAAAAGGACAACGATTGGAGATCAATCCTAATAAGAGTCAAGAGTAGCAGATCCGAGTCGGAGATACAGCGGGTGAGTTTGTGTATTTTTTTGACTCATGTGAATAACCTTAGGGAAATTCCGGGGACAAAAGCGGCTGATTCGGATTGGTCACTTTCTCCGCATCGCGGTTAAATTGGGTTCTGCTTGAGGTACCTTACTTTTGTTACCTAGGTAGGCCCTCCGGTACTGGTACATCCTGTTTGAAGGCATTGAGGGGCCTAAACATGACTACGAAGAGCTATAACCACGGGAGCCTAACTAATCTTCATGAGAGTGACTGATCCTCAAGTATTACCTTGTTGTTTGATCTATCATTTGTACAAGGTATAAAGGAATCACGTGAGTGTATTGATTTCCTTGTTTCTAAGGTAGACACCGGGACCGAATGCTCCGTAATATATATCAAAACAGCAGTCTTGGATTGTCTCTGGTCAGCGGGAGATTTCGTAAATCCCTCTTATGTGAGACCATAAACGAAAATGAGACTTGATGACGCTAGCAAAGCAACAATTTCTTGATATCGAAGTGTCTATAATAATGGTGATATTCATCAATCATGGTGCCATCTCCTCACCTCCATTCCCGATGGCCGCCCTCCGGTGAACTGATTGAGCATGTCGGCCCACTGGCTGGAGCCTGAGGCACTGCTAGACTGGCCGGACCTGCCTGTGCTTCCCCTCACGAGAATTGGGGTAAATGGAGTTGCTCACCAATTATCTAGACCTTAGAGAAGCTGCAAGTTACACGTTATAACTGGCGTCTATACTTGGTTTTTGCGACATACTCCGCTGCGGGTGGAATTATTTCCTTTTTTGGAACATACTTCATATTGCTCTTCTACAGCGTACGCAGGTCAAACTAGTCAATACCTGTAGAAGAGCGAGAAGGACTGCTGAGCTGCTGTGGATGGTCGGTTAAATTCCGCCCCAAACGCCAGACTGTCACTCGGGATGTTACACTACTCCTGAGGAGATCCAGATCTATCCAGATAGGGCTGATACCCAAGTTGAGCTATGTATTGCAAGCCCCTACGTATTCAGGACTTCCTTCCAGTGGCAATGTGGTACACCAACTTCCTTAAACACCTTGAATATACTCAATCAATGAACCGTATGTCCAAAACGAGCAAATAATGGCGTACGAGGGATCCTTTCGTCTTATGAGCTTCATGGTATATTCAGGTAGCCTATAGATGCTAAAACCATACATCATCATTAAGAATTGCATATGATACGAGAAAGTGGGCGAGTTCCGGAGAACTCATCCTAATCTCACACCAGCTTGACGGTTTTTCCGAGCCGTGGCCCCCATAGCATTGTTCATGCCAGTGTGTTGACTGCTGTCCAAAGCGCTCATGGCTTCGCGTTTCTTCTCCTCTTCAATCTTCTTCAACCGTTTCTCAGTCTTCATCCTGCCGCTGCCCTTGCCGTGGAACTGGTGACTAAGATGCTTGAAAGCTTCCTTTTGGTTCATCAAACGACCAAATTCGTCAACGTACTTGAGTTGTACGTCGGGCTTATATTCCTTGTTGAAGACTTCAGCCATGTGTCGTGCATCTTGTTGGTCACGTTGCTTGTTCTCCCACCGCGCGTATTCTTCACGCTCGCGGGCCGACATCCGATCGAGTTTACCGGAGGCTCGGTCGCGTTCACGCTGTTGCCGAGCTCGTTTCTCGGCCTCCGTTTCAAGGTGAGTCTTCTCGTGCAGGAAACGCTGACGAGCCCGCAGGAGCGCGTTGTGCTCAACAGCATCGGAGGGTTTGACCAGCCCGCGTTGCTTGAGCATATTCAATGTGGCACCGAGCCCTTGATCCAATGTAGTTTCTTCCTCCAGTCCGGTTCCGGAGATTTGCTGGAGCTGAGAACCTTCCCTCTTGATGCGTTCCTTGAGGTCTTCTTCGTCTTCAATATCATTGTACGAACGCTCCATATCCACGTCAGTGTCATCGTCGGCCGGTTCTTCCTTGATCCTCTCGACTGATTCTTCCTTGATACTCTCGGCAGGTGTCGTTGTTCGTCGTCTCTCGCGGCGCTCTGGAAGGATCGGCCTCTGCAGATTGGAAACAAATTCTGATGTTTCATCTATGACCAAGCCAGGCTCCTCAACCTCTTCATTCTCTGCGTCCATTGGCGTTTGCGACTCCTCTCTGAGCTGTCGTGCGATATCCTCGGGTCGCACTTTCTGCCGCTTCTTAAATGCAGCCCTTCTCTGGCGTGTAAGAGAGGCTTGTAGATCGTCATCATCGACAAACGATACGTTCTCACTGCTCTCCCATTTTGGAGGAGCCGGCGCGGGCACTCCGTTGCTGGCATCGACTTCCATAGCCCCGTTTTGCGTCGACTCAGTCGTAGGAAATATATCATCTTCGTCAACCGGTCTCTGTCTGGTTGCCTTGACCTTCTTTTTCTTCGGCTTCTTGATTTTAATCTCGCTCATATCCATGTAATCAGAAACCGGAGCTGTCTCAATTGCACCAAGGTCGAGGCTGACGAGATTCTGCTTGAGCCTGTCCGATACCTCTTGTCGCTTAGCCTCTCGTTCTTCGACTGTAGACCCTTGAGCGTCAAGCGTGAAGCGTTTCCGCTTCTTGCCTTCAATCTCTTCGTCATATTGCGCGAGTATGCCGGTATTCTCTTCGGTGGGATCGTAAACAGGTTTCCGCTTTTTCAATTCCAGCCTTTCCGCCACCTTCTCTTTTTCTCTCAGACTGACGTCTTCCAGCTCATCGCCCTCCTCCTCGTTCTCATCTATAGTCGTATCTTTGAGTGTAAGAACATGTTCTTCTCCTTCTTCGAACTCGCCGACCTCATGTCCAACTTTCAGCCCAGCCAAATCCGCCGTAGAGTATTCCGCAGCACGCTCACGTTCCTCTAGTTCTTGAGCGAGTTTGAGGGCGCGTTCCTTTTCGATCTTCTTCTGTCGCTTCTTCGCCTGCAGCAACCAGGTCTTCGTGTCCATATCCACATCGCCAGACTCTCCGAGCGTAGGGCCTTCGAGCATCCGAGCGCGCTGAGCAGCATCACGAGCCTTCTTGATCGCAGCATTTTTTGCCTCTCGTCTCCGCTTCGCCTCGGTCTCCTCTTGAAGTTTCTTCCAGTTCTCCGAGGCAAGCGCTTGCCTCGATTCGAGAGTGCTTCCGGCATCTTCTTCGGATGCAGAGCCCTCTCTTGTTTCTTTAAACACTGGACCGGAGGTGGCGTCGGCACCAGGGACGGGGAGGGGTTTGAGCCCAAGGGCGACTCGGATTTTGTTATTCTGCTCAATCGAAAGAGCGTCCGCCATCTTGGGCGATTTAAAATCAAGTTTGTCGGGATCGGCCAGGAAGTGTGTTGGTGATGTCAGGTCTCGCAGACTGGCATGGATGGTTGGCTTGACTGTTGATAGATTGCCTCCAACCGCAGGCCTTGAGTTCCATTGCCATTACATAATCACATCCAGTCTCGGTAAGGCTTAGCGCGGCAAAATCTTAGCGCGCACTTGGCGCCAACATAAAAAGCCAGGAAATTTTCCAAGATCTTTCTTCTCTTTTTCTTTTTTCCTCACCAATTGAACAAACACGGATCTGTGTCCAGCGATCCTGAGCATGGAGCTGTTCCTCTTCACGGAGGAGCTGCCTCTGTGTCTCGGTTGATTGCTGGACAGTTCGACGACTTAAGGAGCCATTCCCTCGTGGATGGTTTTTATTTCCGGTCGACAGATCTCAGATCGAATGCTGGCATTAGGATCCCTTGGTCTTGAGCTCCCGATAGGTGAGCTCGGCTGGAGGGCCTAGTTGCCAGCGGCGTCATATTCCTGATCCCTTTACCGATTTGGCCGTCGGCTTGTGAGGTTAGGGAAAAACCATGACTAGCCAACATACCTTTTGCTACTTAATTGCGCAGTATTATTCTGTAGGATCTGTGTAGACTGAATGAACTACAAGAGATGGTCTCGTAAATACTACGAACCTGGCATCGCATGGATTGTATATCGCGACGTACTTCGTAATTCCAGAAACTCGCTGGTTGAGGCGTTCGCGAATTCTACATTCACATACATACATACACAGTACGTCCCGTTATCGCCATCTGCATTTACAACAGCTTTAGATGCCCCGTCACTTGATCCACCACACTCTTTGGCCCCAAAACTCCAAGTACCGTCCTGCTTCCGCTGGCGATCTGTGTCCGTCCAGCATCCTGGATCACGCGAGCGCAGAGGCCTAAGCTCATCGCCTGTGCTTGCAGCAACTGTAATTCCTCCTCCGACTTTGTCTGCAAGGCGATCTTTGCTTGTCCCTGTTGTTCCCATCTCCGCAGGACAGGTGACTGTGGATTATGCGCAATGAGGTATTTGTAGCAGGCGAGCGTTGCATGCGAGCACTGGGCGGCGATTTTGCCTATGTTAAGCGTATCGTGTTAGCTGTATTCATTTGCACTCACGGGCTGGATCTCAAAAACCAAGCCTGAGCGGGGAAGCACAAGGGAAGGATTTACCCTTGGTCATGCCCAGATCCGTCCGCACAACCAGCACAAGCTTCACTTCCTCGTTGTTGTCGAAATTGGCTAGCTCGCCACCATCGCCTTCCTCCTCGCTATCATCTTCGTAGTCTTCGTCTTCATCGGAGGAATGCTGCGGGACCTTCACATTGTAGCTGTTGGGCCAGCCTTCCTTCTCTTTGGCCGAGGAAAATAGTCCCAATGAGGCGCCCTGTCCAATGAAGTAACCAGTGATGCCAGCGAGGATCGCTGTAGCTATCACATATGCTGTGGTGGAGGGAGGGACCCGGTCTAACTCGGCCATCTTCTTTATTTTTGGAAGTGCAAGGGTGGAAGAAGCCGTTGGGGTATTTTCCCTCAGTGTTCTAGCTTGTCCTAGTGGTAAACTAAGATCCGATCTGAGCTCCGGTAGCCGCCACAGTCAATCAGTCAGCTACTTCCATAAGGTACCCTTAAAGTCGTCATATCTTCAATCATCTATCCCACAATCTAAAGGCACATAATAAACTTCTCTAATCAAGAATTCATTTAAAGCAAATAATAATTGATCGATGACAATTTTTCCCCCCAACCAGCTTTAACCTTAGCATACCATGAGGCAAGCTGGAGACTGTAGAAATGCACCAACAAGATCCAAAGCAGCGTAACCAAGATTATAATTTCTCAAAAGAAACCGCTATTGCATTATATATACATTCCCGACAGTGCTGCGATTAGAGAACAACATCACCGTCATCTTCTAGTTGGGGCGAGCTCCCGCGTTGCCCATTCGGCGGCTCCTGTTTGGGATTAGCCTAAACCAGAACAACGGTGAGGAAAGCAAAAAGTGATACTTACATCAGAGTTCGGCTAGCAAAGCTGATGAAGATCATGAAGAGCCAACTGGGGATAATGCTGAAACCGTGGATGATATAGCCCAGGGGGACAAGAAGGTTGTTCTGGGCTAGCCAGCCGTCCGTTGGGTGGAGGGCACCTTCGTAAGCGGGTTCCTTCTTGTAGGTCTTCTCGGAATGAATCTTGTAGATGTCCTGGGCCGTCACAGTTGTCGAGTTCAGATACACGACGTGGAGAGGTGTCGCAGCACGACTCTCGCCAAATTGAGCTTGAGGAACCTCGAAGTACCAAACGGAGGGAGCGCCTGCAGACCATGTGGAGCACAGGAGCTGGTCCGATTCGCAGTTCAGATAACCAAGATTAGGGGAGGCAGGGTCTGCGGAGAACAGGAGAAGAGATTCCTTCGAAGTAAGAGGATTAGCCATAGGTTCTCGGGGTACTCGCATCTTCTACTACCCCTGTCTGAGTCCTTACATTGAAAGCTTTGTCCGCGTTTCCGCAACGACCGAAACATGTCTTGTTACCACCAGTAATGTACAGCAGCCAGTCTTGGGGCTCGGAAGATGGCTCCAAGAGAGCCTGCCAGTTGCTCATGTTAAAAGGGGTGACCGTGACAGCCTTCTGTTGGACCTTCTGTTCGACGACCTTCTCGACCGTAGGAACGACAGGAGTCGCGGTTGGCAGGTAAGACTTGGCCTTGTTGAACCATCCCTGAACTCGATCCGCAAGGGGAACCTGCTCTTGCGCCACAGCAAGGGCTGGGAGGATAACGAGAGCTTGAATGAATCGCATGGTGCAGCTAGCAGTCATGACGCGTGTCAGCAACAGTCGGAAGAGGTGCTATTTAGTGAGCATATCTATATTGAAATCGAACGAACCTGAACTGGTTACAATGACGATAAGCGCACTTTGGATTGAATGGACGGTCTGAAAGGCCAAAGTACGGACAGCAGGTAGCTAGGAAGGCGGGCTCCTGAGTTGTGAAAGAAGTGAAACAGCCACGAAGGATGGAAGTAATTTAGTCTCCGCGATTGGCGACAGCTGGCCTAAGAGTCGGGAGACCCGACTTATCAATGCTAGCGGGGAGCAGCTTTCCGGTGCAGTTAAGTAGATGTTCTAAAGCGCAAAGGGGTCGATTTGATTGATGAAATGTTTAATGGCATAATTTATTGTGCCATATATAAAGTTGAACCAACTGGAAAAAGATGCCTCTACATCACTGTCGCAAGGACTTTCGTGTTTGTTTATATGATGTCTTGGGGATGCCATTGATTATGTCACCCTGATATAGTTCGCTCCTTCTCGACCCTACCAACAAGATCGTCTGTCTGATGTTTCTGGCTGTCTGAAGTTTGTGCTCCAGCAACACTTTGAGACAGTAATGACTTGCAACATAGAAGCTGCTGGATACCTGGGCTATAATCCTACGAAAGCTCTAGGTCGAAGGTGTCGGATGTCCTCTATTGTACCTTATGACTCCTTTTATCTTTTGAATCTGCTGAGCCGATGTCGATTGGCCGCGGCTTCCAAAATGGGCACCGTTCAGTTCATATAGTAGCTCCTCCTTAAGTTCTCGTAGTAGAACTGCATTGATTGTCTCGTCCTCACAAAACCTGTGTGGCTCAGAGGATCCTTCTAGCCATTGACTTGCATCACAGAATCATAGTTTTTATCAGACGCACCCTGTATCGACGACGGAGTCAAAAGTATTGATCTGCAGCAGACTATCATCTAAGGATCCATCGACAAGTACGGAGATGTGGTGTCATCTTGTTCCCACTTTAGCTCCGATGGCCTGGTGGCTCATAGTAGCGACCTTGATGGGCCACGGGCTCGGTGCTGCGCTAGAAAGAAGAGCGGATTCTTCGATTTTTCATGGTGAGTGGCTTAGTTATACCGATCTGATATATTCCCAATGCTTTCTGAAGCTCACGAACATACTCAAGCAACTGCGACTCTATTGGACGAGGCTCCTTCACAAGAGTCAGGCGACTACACAAATACCTCGTCGTTCTCAGGCGATTTTCCTATCTGTACCGATCTTAATGGTCCAATAGCGCCTTTTTGCCTCCCTAAGGATGGTGCAGATGTTACAGTTGACGCGACGTACTATGTCACATGGAATGCCGACTTCTACCCTCTGAACGCGACGATCACAATCGAGTTGAGATACGCGAACTCTTCTCAGGGAGACTCGGCATTCACGTCTGAAAAGACTGATAACAGTTACGGTTATGTTTCGCTTCCTATGCAGAAGGAATGGCTCCAAGGAAAGCCATACAATGCTCTGACACTCTATCTCATCGAGCTGGATCCTACGTCGGGTAGTCGAGCTAGTGCCCGGCAAGGCCCAACCGTCATACTCCATCCTAAACCAGTTGAACACTACAAGCCTTCCCCTCAGACACCCTTTAATAGGACGGCTCTTCTTATCGGACTTCCAGTCAGCCTTGGTGTTGTCATTGCTGTTGTTGCGGGCCTGGCTTTTGGCATGCGTAAAAGCAGGAGGACCGGGCTGAGAGACGTCGTGGGTGCCCGAGGAAGGGGCTATGGAATTGGGAAATCCAAGAACCAACGCCTTGGGACCAAAAGGGAGATTAATGGGCCGGATTCTTTTGCAGCCTTGAATAAATACAGAGAGGACTCTGGTGAAGGCTTCTCTGAATTCGAGGGTTCAGAGAAGTCTCACGGATTCGAGCGCAGCGGGAGCTTTGCGTGTCGACAAGAGGTATCAAGGCTGAAGACATGGAGCGGTTGATGGGTTCGCATTCTCCGTGATCGCCTTGTGTATGTGAGGGCATTGGGTAGCAAGAGGTGCCGTATCTTCATTTACCTTCGTCTCGACCCTTCGGTCCTGAAAGGACCTATTCACCTTGATGCCTCACAGTAGTTAAGAAGGAGCTCAGGTTCGAAAGTTTATTAAGCGATGGTTGACGTATTTTTACGGGGCAAGGCTGATCCTGTTGTTGTGTTGCTTGAACGGGCGATTCTTGGTATGACCATACTTTGTCTGTCTCTTCATCCTGCTCCACATGCGCATCTGCAATAACATTGAGAGATCCAACTACCTCTCTACTTATGACAGGTGTCATACAGATGGTCATAGGCAACAGTAAGAAAATATAATGTCTTCATGATACATGAGACAAATGCTGTGTAGCGCGGTCTCGGACAGTCGAATTTAGTATGAAGTACCTAGGAGAACCCCTCACTCCGTATGGAGTACTGCATGCTTTGTCCAGTGTGCAGACTGCAGCCATAATAGATTCTAGGACCTGACGCACTATTATCATCTTTATCATTGGATCTTGGTATCAACAAGGGAATAAACTATGACATAAGAGGCTCTGAAGTCTGTACGGTATCTCTCTATATCGAAGTCCTGAATCTCTGATTATCAATTCTCTCTCTTCTAGACTTTTCCCTTTTTTTGCCTGAATGGATTTTCGATGCTTGGTGAGAAAGTATTCCCATAATTGTTCGCTCGCAGCCGAAGCCGTCCAATCATTCGGTCTCAGTTCAAATCACCTTGGCCGATGTCGGTCCCAAGTTAGTCTGGGTACTCCGCACCAGACTTGCTGCTCTTCATCACCGAGAAATTCGTTTCAACGCACAGGTAATCACACAGATGATGTTAAATCAACATGACGGTAATTTCTTCTGAAATAGACGATCCATCACCTTCAGTCAAGAGACAAGTGGCGACATACGTACATTCCTTCCATGGCTTGCGTAGCATGTACCTTGCTGATAGCTGATTTGCGACCACTAGTATTACCACCAAGAAATGAGTAATCAATGGGGAAAGATCTTCAAATGATGGAGCAATCAGGATTCTGGTTGCGCTGAGAGAAGCAGAAAGCAGAATAACATTGGTCTGGCGGAGAAAATCCCCACACAAGCCCATATTCAGAATCTCAGATAACCAGAGATCATACAGTAGTCGTTCAAGTCTCTCCAACACTCGGCGTGTGAAATTTTCTTCGTTGCCGCTCAAAAGTGCCCAGCGAGTCCGAGTCCGCTTCCCCCTCCGAGTCATAGTCATCCTTTCCAGACCGCCCGCCCTCATAAACTCCACCTACTTTTTCTCTTGCATTGTATGACTCTTACCTCCTAGTACTAAACTTATAAACCCTGAAATTCTTTGAACATCACCAGTGTCAGTTCCTTGTTTTACCTCCATTCCACTTATTGTCAATTGTTACCTAACCTTTGATCCGTCATACAGCCAATCTCGTTCACCCCGACATTGTAATAGAAATCACCCCGCTATCAATTGACAAAATGTGCCCCGGTGCAGACAATGAGCCCAATGGGCACACCAACGGCGCCAATGGCACCGGTATTTCACCTGGAGACAGAAATATCGTACTTGATCCAGACTAATCTCCTTTCTTCCCAGTTGCTCACCCCGGCTTCACTGCCGTTGAGACCCGTCAAAACCCTCACCCTTCGGCTGGTCGTAACCCTTACGGCCACAACGTCGGTGTGACCGACTTCCTGAGCAATGTCTCTCGTTTCAAGATCATTGAGAGTACCCTTCGTGAAGGTGAACAATTTGCCAACGCCTTCTTCGACACCGAGAAGAAGATTGAGATTGCCAAGGCCCTGGATGATTTCGGTGTCGACTACGTGAGTCATAGCCGGCTGGAGTCCACATGTTGCTGGAAGATGTGCACTGACCAAGACATGCAATATAGATTGAGCTCACCAGCCCCTGTGCTTCCGAGCAGTCAAGAAAGGACTGCGAGGCTATCTGCAAGCTTGGCCTGAAGGCCAAGGTACGTTCGCTTCCCTGATCCTGATCTCAACTCGCATCAGTCTAAAGTGTCGTTGCTACAGATCCTCACACACATCAGATGTCACATGGACGACGCCAGAGTTGCTGTCGAGACCGGTGTTGACGGAGTGTAAGTGGACCTACCAACGGTTGGCAATCATGGCTGAATTCTAACTTCTTTTATACAGTGACGTCGTTATCGGAACCTCGTCATATCTCCGGGAGCACTCCCACGGCAAGGACATGACCTATATCAAGAACACCGCCATTGAAGTCATCGAATTTGTCAAGTCCAAGGGCATTGAGATCCGGTTCTCCAGCGAGGACTCCTTCCGTTCTGACCTCGTTGACCTGCTGTCCATTTATTCCGCTGTCGACAAGGTCGGCGTTAACCGTGTTGGTATCGCCGACACTGTCGGTTGCGCTTCGCCTCGTCAGGTTTACGAACTCGTCCGTGTGTTGAGGGGTGTTGTTAGCTGTGACATTGAAACCCACTTCCACAATGACACCGGATGTGCCATCGCTAACGCTTACTGCGCCTTGGAGGCTGGTGCCACTCACATCGATACCTCTGTGCTTGGTATCGGTGAGCGTAACGGTATCACTCCACTTGGTGGTCTCATGGCCCGTATGATGGTCGCCGACCCCGAATACGTCAAGGGCAAGTACAAGCTCGAGAAGCTCAAGGACATTGAGGATCTCGTTGCCGCTGCCGTTGAAGTCAACATTCCCTTCAACAACTACATCACTGGTTTCTGCGCTTTCACCCACAAGGCCGGTATCCACGCCAAGGCCATCCTCAACAACCCCAGCACATACGAGATTATCAACCCTGCCGATTTCGGTATGACCAGATACGTTCACTTTGCTTCGCGCTTGACGGGCTGGAACGCTATCAAGTCTCGTGCTCAGCAGCTCAACATTGAGATGACCGATGCTCAGTACAAGGAGTGCACTGCCAAGATCAAGGCTCTTGCTGATATCCGTCCCATTGCCGTTGACGACGCTGACAGCATCATCCGTGCCTACTATCGCAACCTCAAGTCAGGCGAGAACAAGCCTCTTCTTGACCTCACAGCTGAAGAGCAAGCTCAATTCGCTGCCAAGGAGAAGGAGCTTGCTGGCTCGGGTGTTATTGCTTAAGCAATACGCCATTTGTATTCCACATTGTTCGATTCCATCTTTGTCGGTTGAATTGACCTGTTCATTTGTTTAGAATTTTGACTCCCTGTTTTTCTCTCAGCGTTTCACAACAAGGAAGCTCTGGATTTCCTCCCGTCATGATCTGATGTTTTATTTCTTCTTTTGGTATGTCACGGTATGTCTTGGGATGTTCATATTTACGCGGGGTTTCCAAAAGTCTTCCTTTTGTCCCTCGAAAAAAAAGGGGAGATTGGTGTTAAGGAGAGCGTTGTTCTCTAAGCTGTATATAGCTAGCAGGCCGTTCCAAGGTCAAATGCATTATCATTTCTAGTGTCATCCTCTCGTTGAGAGTACCATTCTCAAGCTTACATGGTAGGGAAGGCCCCACTAGTGTCTCTTCAAGTTGATGCTCTCTTGATATTGGGAATAGCTAGGTTGCCATTGCCCATGTATGATGTGCCTTTCCCCAATCTGCAGAGTGGCGGAGAATTTCAGATCGATCGCGGTTGCTCGATCCGAAGTGATGATTGATGTTGCATTTGCCATATTATTTGGCAGGATTAACATGTGGAAGATGAACCGAGGCAGCTTCGACTGGCGCTCTTTTTAGTCTCCGCTGTCAACTTCCCAGAATCTCCGATTTAGCCACGCTCTCCTCCAGTTAGTTAATCCACCACCGTCATCACTTACCTAGACGTGACCTATCCTCACGCATTCTCTTCTGGTTCCTAAAAGTCTGCAAAATGGCTTCCTCGCTTCTTCCTGTTGCCTTGCAGAACAAACTGCTTGGCTACAGCAGGGCTCCCAATGCGCAGTTGGCGGCCTTGAACTTCGACCTGTAAGTGGACGAATCAACCCATCATTCCTGGACCCCCGCCCATAGGGAAGATCATGGAGCGACCGTTCTGAGCATTGACATCCAAACTCTAACACGGTGGATACGCGAACTACAGACTTCGGAATATTATCTTTATCCTTTTTCTATTGCGTTATGTTCGCAAAACCTATTACTCTCTCCGCGGCTATGGCATCATTGGCAGCATCCGTAATGTCTACGCTTCAATTCGGCTGTTCTTCTATTCCGTATTCCTGCGTACCCCCGGGGTACGTGGCCAGGTCGATAAGCAGGTTTCAACGGCGATCGAGAATCTTGAGAACAAACTAGTAGCCAGTGGCCCCGGTGTCACTAGGTATCTGACTCTCCCCCAGACAGGGTGGACGCCAGAGCAGATTCGCGCCGAACTCGATAAACTGGCGAACATGGAGCATACCCGCTGGGAGGATGGACGAGTCAGTGGAGCTGTCTACCATGGTGGTCAGGACCTGTTGAAGCTTCAAACGGAGGCCTTCGGGCAGTTTGGCGTCGCGAATCCCATCCACCCAGATGTTTTCCCTGGCGTTCGCAAGATGGAGGCTGAGGTGGTTGCCATGGTAAGTTTTCGCCGGTTATTTGGATGATGTGCTTGTCTAATATGGAGTATTTGTAGGTCCTCGCCTTGTTTAATGCTCCTTCGGATGGCGCCGGTGTCACTACCAGCGGAGGTACCGAAAGTATTCTTATGGCCTGCTTGGCAGCTAGACAGAAGGCATTCACAGAACGGGGAGTAAGGGAGCCTGAAATGTGAGCCGTGTACTATGCCTCGGACTGCTGAGTGGGTAGAGTTGCTAACATTCATTGTAGAATTATTCCAGACACGGCCCATGCTGCATTCTACAAGGCTTGCAATTACTTTGGAATGAAGCTTCATCGGGTTCCCTGCCCAGCTCCTGAGTACAAGGTTGATATTGCTGCTGTGCGGCGCCTAATCAATCCCAATACTGTTCTTCTGGTTGGCTCCGCGCCCAATTTCCCTCATGGAATCGTCGACGATATCCCTGCTCTATCCCGACTTGCAACTAAATACAAGATTCCTCTTCATGTCGACTGTTGTCTGGGCTCCTTTGTCATTGCATTCCTTAAGAAGGCCGGTTTTCCCTCCCCTTATGAGGAAGAAGGAGGCTTCGATTTCCGCCTTCCGGGCGTAACTAGTATTAGTGTGGACACACACAAGTACGGTTTCGCACCCAAAGGCAATTCCGTGCTCCTTTACCGCAACAAGACATACCGCAGCTATCAGTACTTTATTTATCCTGATTGGTCCGGCGGTGTGTATGCATCTCCTTCCGTGGCAGGATCTCGGCCAGGTGCTCTGATTGCAGGTTGCTGGACCAGTCTGATGAGCGTTGGTGAGACTGGCTACATCAACAGCTGCCTTGAAATCATAGGAGCGGCGAAGAAGTTTGAAGCGTCAATCAAAGAACATCCAGTTCTGTCCAAGCATCTCGGTATCATTGGGAAGCCTATGGTCAGCGTGGTCGCGTTCCAGAGTGAAAACGGTGGCATTGATATCTACGACGTTGCCGATGGTCTGTCAGCCAAAGGCTGGCACCTAAATGCTCTCCAGTCTCCCCCCGCAATCCACGTGGCATTCACAATTCCGACAGCGGCTGCAGTCGAAAAGTTGACCACTGACTTGGTCGAGACGGTGGAGAAAGAGCTAGAGAAGGCCGAGGAGAGGAAGCGGCAGGGCAAGTCGTATGTGCTCAAGCGTGGCGAAACATCCGCACTGTATGGTGTTGCTGGCAGCATTCCCGATAAGAGCATTGTCAGCCGTCTTGCTGAAGGCTTCCTGGACACCCTGTATAAAGCCTAAAAGATCCATGCTTGATTGGATGGTCGCCATGGGTTTCGCAAGTCGCTCGACGTTGAATCGTTTCCTCACCCGTAAAGTTCCAATTCTATGAGATATTGGGTTCCTGATTAAATGATATAGCTACGGCAGTGGCGTTTTAAGGCGTTCAAGCAGGTTACTGTTCATACATTATATAGTTGTACAAATTGTTCTTCTTGTCAGACCTTCGAAAATAAGTAACATAACACCAAGACAATAAGAAAATGGAGAAAGACGACCAATTTTGACATCCTGGTATAACAATGCTGGCACAAGATAAGTATAATACATGAATCGTTGAAAGGACGATACAGGGCTGTGTTGGCCATGTGAACGAACATGGCTAGGTTTGAGAGGAAGTGTAGATGAGATATAAACGTTCTTTCAAGTCGCAAGAGGGTGTTCAAGCATCAGTACTCTAGGCACTGGAGCTTCCATGCAGAATGATTGCATCGAAGATGTTAAACCACCATCTCAAAGGTGTACACATGTGCTTGGGAAACCGATATCCTCACACGAAACAACCGGAAGCATCCCAGCCGGTTCACATGGCCGAGAAACAAGAGCAACAAGTTGGTAGTAAGCCTCGCATTCTATGCCGACCGATTCTCGCTAAATTCTTCATTCGATGCCTTCTCGACATAGTAGCCCGGGTCCGGCCTCCGTTCAGCACGAACTTCTTCCTTTGTGAGCCGCCTGTCGACTTCTTGAACCTCCACAAGTTCCTTGACCTTCATGATCTGACCAGCTACTGATGGCGATACTGGGTGGAAGACCGTCGCCATGCGCTTTTTAAGTCCGAGGGCCTTAAGGACGTCTGTTGTTCGTCGGGGGAGACCGATGGCGGAGCGGAGGAGGGTGACGCGGAAGTAGCTCATGTTGACTGGTATATGAGTCTCTGTCGGGTCGTCGGTTTTGGAGTGTTGGAATCAATTGGCTTCTGTCTGCTGTCTCTGCTTGTAGTTGCGGTGTTCGGATATGAAGTGTAACAATCGACTTGGGGAATTTTCTCTCGACGAAAGCCCCGACAACTCAAGAATCGCAATGGGCAGGATATGCGAGGAATGAATGAAGTCGTCAAATTGGCATAAAGAGACTTACACTCGACGCCCGCTCAATTATCTCGATTAGCTTGGTGTCTTTGTCCGCGAAATGGCCGGATTTTCTTTTGCTGGTATGGTCGGTCAGCCAGGCGGAGAGTCACGTGCATTCTGTTCTGCCGGTGCCTTCAAGCGGCCGGCGGGTGGAATCCACGGGGAAGCTTGACGGTGTAGCTTAGGTGTACCTCCGTCATTTGCATTCATCAGAGCGCCGTGTCTACCTTATGGGCTGCTGCTGGGAATTGCGTCCAGCAATCGGCAAACTGGGTATGGAAATCGACACAGGAGCTGTCGATTTCGTAATCTAGGGATTTGTCGGTCGAAACGGTCGACTTCCTTTCGGACAGACGCCCTGTGCTATAAACGCTCCGCGCATTATCCTTCGCTACGTTTGTCTCGGGCGCTGCATTGGCTCTATCTACTCCTGTATTATTGGACGTGCCCTTCTGCTGAGGTTGCTCAGTCTCTAAGGTGACATTCGGTGCGATTCACGCGCAGCTCTATCCTTCCAGCACCCCGCAGGAGCAAAAACATCGCATAGAGGGCGCACTCTGACATCTAATAATAACTTCTCAATTACGTATTTGGCAACATGGCGCGAGAAGGAGACTCAGATGGCACATTGGCCATGCCCCGGCTAGACGAAATATTGCGCCACCCAGAAGACCTGGATAAGATTGCAGGATTGAAAGCCGAATATACACGAAAGAAGGGAGCAGTTGACTCACAGCTCCGGGAAGGTCTCCGGCATCAATTGGAAACGGTTCAACGAAGTATAAATGCCTTGACTGAGGGCCAGCGACAGGTCACGAAGACGAGAGACGAACTTCAGACTATAGACAAGCTGTGCGCGGAATCACAAACGAGCGTCGAGGACTTTTCGCGAATTGATAAATTGGCCAAAGTACAGCGGAACTTCGAAGCAACCCTGATGATGAAGAAGGGCTTGGAGAACTTCAGTACCGATCTTGCGGAGGTCGAGGAACTTTTGCGACAGGACGACGAGGATCTCGAGAATCAGCCGAATTTGTTACGGGTACACATGCAGATCTCGCGGTTGAGAGATTTTCGAGACGAGGCAATGGACCAGATTCGCAAGGCTCAGGATCCGAGCAGCGAAGCGACGCTGGCGGACTACTTCCAAGGCCTGGATTCTGTCATTGATTGGTTTGATGAGCATCTCGGAACTGCTTGTATGAATCTCATCCCGCTAGTGCAGTCAGACAACCGGAGTATGGTTGTCCGGCTGGGTGTGATTGTCATGACTGAGGAGAAGAATGACGCGACGGTGCGCGCTCTTCAGGAGGCACAAAAGGATCATCAGGACCTGGCAGGCCGGTTTAAGTCCATGAACATCGGTCCTAAAACAGTTCGCGGCTACAAAGAGAAACTCTTGCAAGCAATCGAGCTGTATGCGGAGAACCAGTTTCAGGAAACTAAGGAGGCGTTTCTGGGCGATCCTGAGAACCTGGATAAGAGCTTCAAGTGGTACTTCAACGACCTCTTTTCTGTTCAACAAGGCATGCAAGCACTGCTTCCGAAAAAGTGGAAGATTTACAAAACATATACGAATATTTATCACCGAATGATGCATGATTTTCTTATCGAGCTCATTAATGACCCTGAGTTACCGGCAGACAACTTGCTTGCGATTCTTCACTGGAGCGAAAAGTATTATAAGAAAATGAAAAAGCTCGGCTGGAAGCAATCCGAGCTCCAACCGAACATTCTTGACGACCGTGAGCCTGAGCTCATCCGACAGTGGCAAAACATCATCATCAAAGCTGTGGAGGAATGGATGGATCGTATTACCGAAACAGACAGGAAAGGGCTCGTCGAGCGCATTCCAGATTCCCTCGACACCAACGCAGAAGGATATTTCCGTACAAAGACCCTTCCAGATATGTGGCGTATGCTGCACGAACAGATTGTGGCTTCTGGTGCTTCCTCTCGAACAGATGTTGTAGAAGGCATCATTGATGCCATGTTCCGAGTGCTCAAGAGTCGCCAAACCACCTGGCAAACGCTCATTGACGAGGAATGTGCGAGATATAAGGCGGTGGGCGGCGACCAACTCGAAGGCCTCCAGCTATTGCAAGATTGGCTCATTGCCGTTGCCAACGATCAGATCGCCTGCATTGACGACAATGACGAGTCGGGCCAGCTGGGATACTTGAGCAAATTCAAGCGTGATTTCGAGCCATCCGTGGATCCGAAGTATATGGCCTCACGAGCCATACCTGAACTCGACGCTCTGCGGGACGGCTATGTGGACTTGAGTACGTATTGTCTCACTCAGTTCGTCGAACTGGTCTTCACTGTCGACTTCCGCACCACTATTCCAGACTTCTTCACCCAAAAATGGTATGGCGACTTTGCCATCAAGCGAATCACCTCAACTTTTGAGGACTACATGACAGATTACTCTGCCGTTCTGCATCCTTCCCTGACCGACATCCTGGTTGAAGAACTGTCCGACGAACTCCTGATCCGATATCTATCATCGGTCCGCAACAAGGGTGTCAAGTTCAAGCGGCACGTCGATCCGTACACCGACAAATTCAAAGACGACGTCCTTACAGTCTTTGCTTTCTTCCAGAAATACCCCGACTCTTTTGCTTCGATCAAGCAGAAGTGGCGGCTAGTTGATTGGCTTCTCCGTCTGCTCGAAGCAGAGAAAGGTCCGGCTCTGGTTGCAGTTTACGAGGACTTCAAAACGGATTACTGGGATCTACAGCTGTCATGGGTTGAAGCAGTGCTGAGGACTAGGGATGATTTCGAGAGAAGCATGATCAGCGCCATCAAAACAAAGGCGGCGGAATTGTCAATAGAGAGGGGTACAGAGACGCTCATGAGTCGCGTGCGATGATGCTGTTGGTTTGCCAGGCTAAGTTGAAGGCATTGAAGGCGTTTGTTCTTTTCCCATTCTATGGTGGCACTGTGACTTGTCATCTGTCATTGGATCTCTCGGGGAGATTTCCCTCCAGCGAGGCGTTTTGGTGTCTTTTTTGTTCGAGGGTAAATACCTCAGGCACGGATCCTCGACTGTCAGCACGACAGGAGATTCCTCTAATGAGCATGCCATGATTATAGTATATATAGAGGGGATTCGAATGCTCTAGATTTTAACGCCGCCCTCGACACTCCCATCGCTGCTGCCGCAGTCATTAGATTCTTGGTTATCCTGATGGCAAGCTTTGCCCTCAGCGACCACTTTTGAGTTCCCCGAAGATGTGAAATCCAGGCTCCTTTCTGCCACAACTCGGTATTTTTCTCCCAAGCGTGCATTCATCCCACTATCGTCAGGATCAAGCTTCTTTGCGCCCATCTCACATATACAGATTGTCTTTAGTGGGAAGTCCTTTGCCCAAACGAAAGGGTATGCGTCTACCCTCTTCATGGATGACATTTTCTGTTTCTTCTCCGGGGGCGAATTGCCAACCTCGTTGCCACTGCCATCTGTACTTCTGGCGGAATTTGACGCACTTTCGGTACCAGTCTCGTTGTTAGCGATTTGTCGCCTTTCTATTTCGTTGGGGTGAGAGGTCACTGTAATGGAAGGAGACCGTGGCGTTGTCCTTTGACCATCGAGGTAATAGTCTCGGTAGTGAGCAAGAATATCCCGTGCATCGAAGGTGTATTGACTGTTTCGGCGGTTACCGCTGTTTTGAGGGCCTCCTCCTCGCCGTCGACCACGGACATAGATAGTGTTGACCACCGTAGCATGAAGGAGAAGCGGTCGAACTTTGAGCTTAGACTTCGTTTGCGCGGCGCTGATGACCGTGGTCGTGATGGGTTCGCGAGTTTGCGAATGTGCTTGTGCGAACTCGTGCGCCAAATCCACGGACATTTCTTGAAGAAGGCTTGTGTGATTCTGGATTGGGGTATCCGTGTGGGGTTGATGGCCTTGATCTAGATTTGGCTCAGCTCGGTGTACTGTACTCGTTGCGTCGCCCGTGTCCATTTCCATGTCTTTGGGCGGCTTCTGGGGCTCATTGTCATCTGAGCCTGGCTTATTCTTGATATGTTCGCCCTGCAAGAATCCTGCTTCTAGGAACTTGTTCCGCAGCAGCACGCAAAAGGGATAGAGGCGAGACGTGGAATCCACAGGAGCGGCATGAAGGACGGTAGCCGCGCGCCCCCTCGGAAGCGCATGTAAGGATTCGAGGGAAATCGTCAATGGTTCGTAGGTGCCACGTGGGACGATGGCGGAAGCAGAGTCACCTTCCTGCTCTAGTCGTCTTGATGGGTGAGTTTCCTCATCCTCTCCCACTGCGCCCGTAAAGTCAGACTGATGTCGAGGCGACAAACTTCTTTTCCGGGACCATTTCGATTTCTTCGCAATCTCCTCTGCCTCATGCATAATGGACGCCAAATCGAGTGAGTGGAAGAACTCGACTGCTTCTTCCAGCCGTTCTTTCGTAGGAAGACTCATCACCCCGAGTGTGAGATGGAGAGTGCCGACGGGACGCACCGCGCCATCAGGGATGAGCGGCCGTTCGGCGGAAACTTGCTGTTTTACGGAGCCATTCTCATCTGACTGCGAGACCAACGGAATGGCAGCTTTGAATGTAGACAAAGAAGATTCCAGCTGAGGTAGGGAGATGTCGTTCACCAGCGGAAGGCACAGAAAGTGTGTCAGAGGAGGCCTCTTTTCCCTCTTAGGGAAAGTCCATGGTGCTCCATTTCTCCTCTTCTCGGACATGTTCCAATGATAAAGACGGAAAAAAGGGCTTGTTGATGGCTGAAGTAGAGGCCTGAAAGACCTGAGGGTTTTCATATGTGAGAAGAGTTATGCCGCTTTGGGACAGTAGTAAAGTGCCATATGGAAACTCGCCATAACCAAAATATGCCCCCCCCCAAATGGAAAATATAGTGATAAATGATCAAACGCTACCACAGTGAGTAAGAATAGACTCGAATCAGAGTCATCAGCTGCTTGAAGAACTTGGAGGTACGGAGGAAAGGAAGCTGAAGTAGAGCTATCTACAGCTAAGCTGCATCGAGGAAAGACTATGACATATGACGCGCATCTTCGTTTCTCCTCCGCATTTCATCGTAACCTTCTCCATCCTCCCTCTGTTCGGCACTCACGCATCCCCTTTATAGTCGATTGAAGGTCAGCTGTATAGCTCAAAAATCACCCAAAATGCTTTCGCGCTTTTCTCGATCTGCTGTCTCCTCCGCCGCCCGTCGTTCTCTCCGTGTAGGCCAGATCTCAGCAACGGCGCCCGCAGTCATTCATCTTCAACCCCGATTGAACAGCGTCAACATCTCCTCCCAGGCGTTCCGTCGAGGGTTCCAATCCACCAGCTGCATCCGCAAGGGCATCTTCCCTGATTCCGCAGACCCTCCCGCCCCGAACCCGCAATCGAATAATGTCGCCGGCGCGTCCACCCATGTCACGGAACCCTCGCCGTTGACTGACGCGCAGTATCACGAATTCGCTGAGTACTATCTCAATGTGATTCAGAATGAAGTGGAGAAGGCCCAGGAGGAGGGATCTGATATCGAGGCAGAGTATAGTGTGCGTATTGCGGGCCTCCGTTCTAGATTTTTTTCTTTTCCGTTTCTTGTTTGAGGCAACTCATGCCGCCCTTGTGATCTGCAAGACATCTTTGGCTAATTTGTGGTTCGATATACGACCCCTAACTCTAGGCTGGCGTAATGAATATCTCACTTCCCGGTGTAGGAACCTATGTCCTGAACAAGCAGCCTCCCAACAAGCAGATCTGGCTCAGCTCGCCAATCTCTGGCCCTAAGCGGTACGACTGGGTCCTCGAAGGAGACCAAATGCATGAGAAGCAGGATACACATCCCTTTGGCAATGGACAATGGATCTACCTCCGCGATGGATCCAATTTAACGGATCTGTTGAATGCGGAGCTGTCGTTGAACATTGCAAAGGACGTCTACAGCGAATTTGAGAAATAGTTATTGAGTGGCCAAGAAGGAGTATGTGGATGATCAGGCGATGTTTGAGATTACCATATTCTATGACGAAGAGGTTACGGTGTATGATATGGAGATCGACATTTCAGTTTCGTCCATGGGAACGATGTAAACACCCGCATCAAGTGCATATTCACTTGCTGCGCAGATATACAATCATGAATCGAAAGTTCACCAATATAATGATCTTCTTTCCTCCCAGGTCCAGATTTCTTCACCACCAAAACGCCCTTATATGTCATCCTTGACGTGACTTAGGCCAATCTTTATCATGACCATGGTCAGATATAGCTGTGATGTCCCTTTGCCTCAATGCAAAGTGTCCTGACAGTCACCAAGACACTGTAGTCACAGGGAGTGGCTCGCAGGGTGCGCATATCCATTGGCTTGGATACGAGAGAACCAGAAAAGGACACGAAGGCCCGGACGGCTGCAGTTGTGGCGTGATTCCTGTATCCTCCATCAACGGACAAGAATCGATATTCCGAGGGAAGTCGTTCCGGTTGAGTAAGTTGACGTACGGGCTACCAGTAATTCGTGCGGCGTTTCAGAAATCGACGCGAGGAACTTTGGGCCAGCTTCATAACCTGGCTTGTCTCTGGGCTGATTTACGCTTGCACGGAAACTGCACCTGGTGCCGGCCGATTACCATCTTTGGGAAGATCAGACTGCAAGCAGAAAAACATTGTCAGCGATCCATATTCTGTGATCTAGTCGAGGCACAAACTGGCAAGCATACCACTTCAAAGATAACCCGAATCATCAAGCTGCAGCTAGGGCAGACGGCAATATCTTCGCCGTCGCGCAAGTCATCGATTGCGATTTCGAATCTGTCGCCACAGGGGCACGGGTAGTGGTATATCTGGAGATTTGGATCGAAGGTCATGTCTTCGATCTCGATTTCGTCGTAGATAGAAAGAGCTTCGTCGGCCATACTGAGCGATCGTGTCTTCTGTGCACTGGCGAATTCAAATATGATACCTCTATTGTAAAGAAAAGTACAAAGCGATCTATTGTTCTTCATCACTTAAAAACTTTTAGTGGGTCGGATCATGTGACTGCGGGGATCCAGATAACGGCCAAAGTCACGACTCCGCAACTGACGCTGGTGTTCTACTTTCCCATTGCAGGGTTGGAAGCATGGCATTGTACGGGGTGTTCTTCATGAGCGGGGGTATCTCCAAACAACGAAATTAGCAAAAAGGTTTCTAGCCACTTAGTCTCTGAATCTCTAACTTCGCCGCCTCAATCTCTTTTACGAGCAATCCGTACCGTTGGGCGATCTCTCGCATCGGGCCAGACTCAAAATGCTCTTTGTTGCTACGAGCAGATGGCTCATGAGACTCAGTAGAGTCCATACCCTCGTAGCCTTTCAGTTCCTCAAGAACTTTTCCTTGTCTCTCCTCTAGCCGTTCACGAGTCTCCTGGAGATGCTGGCGGTATCGGTCAAGGGCAGTAACAATCTCGGGAGTATAGAGTGTTGCTGCTGTGTCTAGTTTGATTATACTTTCGAGTCGTGAGTTTCAAGGCCCTTGTCATCATGCCGAGTAATCTCTTTTATCAGACATACCTTAGCTTCGCTTCCACGCCTTGCGCAACCAGAGCAAGATGTTCAGCCTTAGCCTTGGTAGCCCTGGATAGCGCGCCGTGCTTTACGCGCTCAAGCAACACAACCGTATGCTTCAGTATCTCAGCGCGTGTTTCCAGGACCTTTGCCGCTGTTACCGCCATCCGTGCACGAGCAGCTGGTATTTGCGCCAGCTGTATCTGACGCAGGTTTTGCAATCGCTCCCGCAGCTGTGATGCGAGAGGAGCCTGTGGTTTCACCTTGGATTGGTTACGGCTTGTTCGGACACGACCCCGTGTAGACAATGTAGACGTATGCGGCATCGCAGGTGCAGACGCCGCGCAATCTAGCCTCTTTCCGACGTTCGCAATTGCTCGGAGATCTTCGAGGGCGGACGATAAGGCGTTCGAAAAAGGTATGACTAATGCAGGAATGATGGAATAGAAGGCGTCAATATCCGAAGCTAAAAGGGATAGAGCTTGAGCATGTGCGCTCTCGTGGTCGTCCCCATCCTCGAGGTCAAGCCGACTAGGGGACGATTCCAGGTAGAGGGTAATCACGGCGAGAGGGTCGCGATACTGTCCACAACAGACTTTTAGCAAACTAACGGATATTTCGACTCAGATAGAGCTTATCCTGACATCATCCGGCAACCCATTGTCGGCGTCAAAAGCCAGCTGCTGTAGCGTCTGTTGCTTGATATTTTTGCTTGCGCTTCGCACTCGACATCCTCTCAGGTCCTAGAAGCAGTAAAACCACGGGTCAAATCTGCATCGTATTTGATTCTTGCACGGCCATTTTCGTCCACGCTGCCAATGCTCAAGTCAAGTGGCGCCTTGAACGTACTTCCAGTACTGCTTTTCTGGTTGGCTGCTCATCATTGGCTCGCGTCGAGCCATCGGCATTGAGTAAATTGGTTGTTATATGCAGATAAAGTTTTCCGAATTGGGGATTATTTTCAAGGATAACTGGGTCGCAGGGTGGTATCATTTTCCGAAATGGCTAAGACTTGGAAGTTCGCAAGATGTGTAAACAAAGCTGCAAAATCACCTGCCTAGCTTTCCGTGCTCCCGCGTTACCGCAAGGTCGCCCCGTGACTTATGGATGTACCTACAACTATGGAGTACAAGACATACTACAGCGCGAGATACACAAGTCAAAAACCACAACAAGAAAGATCGGATTCCGAGGCTTTTTGCGCTTTCATTTTCACATTTCTTTCATAATCATACATGTATCTGCTGCGCCAATACCTTTTCCCAACGACTGCGGGCGGCGTCCTGCGAGCCCCTAGCACTCTCAAGTACTCACATTGACGAGTACGCTCGAGCATGTCTTGGTTCCAAGTTTCCTCACTCAGAGCTCTATGGCCGACTCAGGAATTTTGGAATTCTGCGAGCTGACAAATTGTCCCCTCAACCAAGAACCACAGAACCACAAGTACCAGCAGCAGAGCTATGAAGTGGTATCATAGAAACAAGGTAATCGGTAGAAGAAACCCCATGGTGCTGACACTCAAAAAGAATTGAAGTCATCCGCCACGTGAGCTGCCTGAATTGTGGCTTTCGCTCCCTGGACCTGCGCAGACTCGCCCGATAGGATAATAAAACGGCAAAGAAAAAGAGGGGGAAAAACACAAGGTTCGAACCCGGAAGACGAGAGTAAGTGGTTATGTACAGAGAGTCCAGAACTTGATCACAAGACCAGACTGTCTTCCAAGACAAAACGAGTCGCTAAAAGGGCATAACAGAATTTCAAAAGTCATGCTTTGATTCAGGGGAAATGCTGACGATAAGTAGTCATGAAGTGCCACAGGAGCGCGTCATGCAGTTCCCGCGAGTTGGAGCAGACAAAAGGTCTACTCTTCTTCGCTTTCTTCAGAATCATCCTCTGAATCATCGCTACTTTCATTCGCTTCCACAGACGGAAGAGGATCGGGGGAACGGCCGCCACCGCCCTGGAAACGAGAAAGGTTGCTCTCGAGCATGTTGATCTGAGCCTCCTGCTCATACTTGCTCATAGGCTTATTCTTCTTTGGCTTTGGAGCAGCCATATTTGCTGCAGTAGAAACGGACATATCCTCCTCTTCTACGACATGCGGGGCGTTCTTCTTGACGAACTTCAGTAACATCAATAGAACCTCATTAGGGAGCTCATCGATGTCAAGTTCGATCTCGGTCTCTTGTGTACCCTGATAGGAAACATTAGCACATACCATTTGAGATGATGGATGTTAAAACTCACTTTCAAGGCTGGAACGTTGCTTTGGATAATCTTCAGGGCTTCCTGCATCTTCTTGTCCGGAAGACTACTTATTCCGTTCGAGATGATCTGCTTTTCGTGATAAGTCACGTAGCGCTGCTTTTCTGGCTTTGATGACTTGGAGGAAGTCTTCTTGTCCTTCTTGCCCAAGGGAATGGTTCCGCTCTTCTTCGAATCCTTCTTTCCGGACTTGGACTTGCTAGGCTTTTTCGAACCAGGTGGAGTCTTCTTTTTCTTCTGTGTAATGGCTTCCACTTGACGCGACATTTCAGCAATTTGTTTCTGCAGCATGGTCAACTTCTCGTTGTCGTAGTCGCTCTCGTCTTCCTCTTCTTCGCTCTCTTCGGAGGAAGAGCTAACGCTCTGGTGTTCTGGGTGGGGTTCATGAGCCTCTAGGTAACGTGTCTTCTGAGCCCACTTGTTTTCGAATATCTCCTGGAATCTCTGTCCGGCCATGTAGGTAGGATCTCCTGGGATGTTAAACTTGAAGCAGTTCTTGAATATTTGCCGCATGTCAACCTCAAATTCCTTGGCATTCTCGTACTGGCCAGTCTTGAGTTTGGACTGGACAGTGGAAAGATCCATCGGCTTCTTAATAATGCTGTGATAAGTTGGAATGTTCAGTGCAACCGGATCCACAGGGAAGTAGAAAGGGGCAGCCCAGTTGTAGTGCTTGGGTTTGTGGAGCTCATCCAAGACTTCCTGACAGAATCGCAGTTCCCACTGGTACTTCTTCTTCTTGGGCTTGGTGGAATAAGGTAAATCCCGTTTGGGGGGATGAATCGAGCGCTTGGGACGGCCATCAGTATTGGTAGAGTCACGACGGATCAAAGGCAGGCCTTCTGGTCCAAGAGCAAAAGTCGTGGCTTGAGGGGAAGTGGCGGTCGGGCGAGCTGTAGACGTCCCAATGCTAGTGCGCGGTTCCCGATGAGCCGCTGAAGTTTTGGTGGAAACCTTCTTCGGCTTCTTCTCCTCAATCTCATCAGCCTTGGGTAGGTTCATCATTTGCTTCTCGAATGTGCCTTTGAGCTTCAATCCCTCTTGTGACACCACGTGGTCGGGTCCATTGAAAGTAACTGCATTTTGCACCATCAAATTGAAATCATCCACGACGGCCTGAGCAGTCTTGTACTCATTATTCTTCAATTTGCGCTCGATTGTCCCAAGATCCATAGGATGCTTGATAATCTGCGGATAGTGGGGAATGTTCATCTTGACCGGGTCGACAGGTTCGCGGTAGAAGCGAGCATCATTCATGCGCTTCAAACTCTGAATACCTTTGAGGACGAATTTATGTTGGACCTTAGTCATGGTCGCCTCCCCATTCACAGTGGTGCGGGCAGGTGCTTCGGTCACAGGTGTTGGCAGATCAGGAAGCTTGACCTCAGCTGAGCCTTCATCTTCCAGCTTGGTACGTTTGGCAGCGGGCTCATCATCGGCGTCTGCATCGCGCTCACGGGATACCTTCGTTGGAGACATCGGAACATCTGGCGCGTCAGGCATGTCTTGGTCGGAAGTCTGCAGATTCGGTACAGTTGGCGCCTTACTAGTAGCGTCATCACCGGGCACGGTGTCCAGCTTCGCACTAGTAGAAGGATGATGAGGCAGCTCGGTTTTCACGCCAGAATCCTGTCCATTATTCTCCACCTTGGCATCGGACGACGAATCAGTCGGTGGCTTTGATACATCTTGCGATGCCTTCGTGTCTTGCGGTGAGGCCTTTGAGCCCGTCTCCTGCATCACAGGCGCGTTAGGAACCAAGTTGTCCCCGTTTGGCTCTTGGTTTGATCCATCCGCAGGCGTGGAAGTAAAAGATTTCTCTTCTTCCTTCTCCGTTGCTGTCGTCGTCGATGGTGCATGAACGTCCGCAGGGGTTTGAGTAGGTGACTTTGGGGGGGAAACAGTGGAGCCGGCGCCATTCGTCAACGACGGCTGTTCAGTACCGTGGCCATTTAATGTGGCGGTCTTGTCATTTCCCTCGGGCTTGTTCGTACCATTAATCGACGCTGTTTCCGTCACATGATTCTGCGGGCTACTTATAGGAAATTAGCGAGCTCGTCAATTTATCAATGTGGTGGAAGGACTCAGCTTTGTAAAACGTACCTTGTGCGACCAATATCAACAGATGAGGCACCATTTGGCGACGGCGGCAGTTGAGGCTTGTCCTCCTTGACAACAGGAGGAGCCTCGGGAGGCGGCGTCGCCATTGAGGACAACAGTTATCACCTTTCTTGGGGAGCCCGTAATACAAGGATCTAACGGAGCAGGAAGAGGCTGTTCTCAGTTGAAGTTTAGATAGCGACAACGACAATAATGCACTGAATAGGTATTCTCTGCGCTAACACAGACTAATGATTCGATTCGGTAACCCGTCAAGCAGAAAATCTGGTTAGATGACAGAAGACACAAGGAGAAGTGTTGCCTCTAGCGGTCGCAAAGAGTCGCGACGCCGAGAAGTGTTGCGGAAGATACAAAAACGAGGAAGATTAGCGCAGGTCGGAAGTGGAGAATGCGACAAGGAGGATTCTATATTGCCAAGAGGCGGTAACTGAGCAATCACGTGGGCGGCAAATCAGTTTGACTAAGCTGGAGGCAAAGTCGTAGGAGAACGGAGAGATAGAAGATTAGCAAAGCGGACAACTTTGCGTCAACCAAAAGAGGAGTCTGAGAAAGGCTGAGAATCAGGTGATTTTCACGCAACGGTTCTCTGACACGTGCCTCTGTCAACGCCTGAGGTAAAGGAAAAGCGTTCAGCAGAATAGGGGTTAAGTCGACACTGAAGCTTGGTGTGTTCAGAGATAAGAGTTATATGACAGGAAATAAGTAGGTGCAGGGGGCTGCGACTGGGATTATGATGTGAGAGCGCGTCGCGAAATACGCGTTGTGATGATAAAGTGGTAGTAAGCTGATGAATGCGAGGGCGGTAACCGAGGATACGGAGAAAATAAGATCAAATATTAATAAATAAGGGCGGTCAGCACTCAGCAGGCAGACAGTGGGACAGATAAGGGTCAAGGTGAATAGAAAGGGCCAGACGTGACCGGGCGCGGGTGCAACGCAGCTCTCAGCTCAGCTCCAGAAACAGAGACTGAGAAAATCCGAGGAGGGTGCTAGAATCTTTAAGTACGAACGGCCGCGTCGCGCTCGTCCGTCCTCTGCCGCTAGCCCCATCTGTGGCGCTAATCCCAATCATTCTAGTTCAAGCCATTTAGCAGGCGCTGATTGGTTGCGCGATGACGCGTTCTACGAAATCTGATATATTATTGGTTGTGGCTTATTTTAGTGTGGAACCTTTGTACCAGAAGTTTTTTCTGTCGGAACCATCACCCATCTTCGAAAAAGACACTCCTAAAATGATCACAAAATTTTCGGATCAAATGGATCGAAACAAGCTGCACACGAAATCAGAACGGTAGGAGTTAATCTGACTGTAATCAAAATGAGCCAATTGTGGTTCAGTTCTGTGAGATAATGATATGGATTTGAGGTGAAACTAGCCAAGTGGGAGGTCAGATATGGCATACCCAAACCTGTTAGGCATTCACATTCAGGAAGAGTAGCATCACAAAATCCTTGGTTTGGGAAAGAGTTGTGCTGAGGCTTACTCAGGGAAGAGATCCATGTGCTGGCCGCCTTCCGATTATGGAAGTCAGGGTTGAGCCCTGAGTCAACTTCCTTCCGTCCCCTTGCGTTGGAGGCTTGTAGGTCGCATCAGGCCTAGCGTGTCA